CTGCTGAGGGGTCTGTAAGGGGCTCCTGCTGTCCTTGGCACCAGCAGTTCCTCCTGCCACATTCCAGGCCAACAGATGCTGCTGCAGCTGCTGGAGAGCTGCTCTCACCCTGTTTCTGTGTCTGCTCTGCCAGAGCAAGAGCCATCACCTCCAAGGAATGTGAGGTGGGTGGAACGAGAGGTACCTCTGGTTCACTGTTTGCTCTTTGAAGGTACATAAATGAAAATGCAAAACTTTTGCAAATTATTGGGGATTTGTAGGACTAATGTTAAATTTAAAAAAAACATCTTAAAGGAGCCATCATGGAAGCAGGTAACACAAGGAGTTCACCTCAACATGAGGAAGAACTTCACACTGGGGGTGGCAGAGCCCTGGAACAGCTGCCCAGGGAGATTGTGGAGTTTCCTCCTCTGGAGACATTCCAAACCCACCTGGACATGTTCTGTGTCACCTGCTGTAGGTGACCCTGCCTTGGCAGGGGTTGGGCTGGATGACCTCCTGGGGTCCCTTCCACCCCTAATGACTCTGTGATTCTGTAACACCTGAGTTTATCCTAGGTCCCTTCAGGTGCTGTCACCCACCTGAGTGGGTGTGGGTGAGATCTCAGTGTATTGATGTGTTAGCAAAAATGAGAATTCAGGATACACTTGGGATTTATCCCATTGCCAGCTGGGGGGGCTGATGTAAAGGGAGAAGAAAGATTTTGATGAAGACAGCAAAAACATAAAGCAACTCCCCACAAATGTTTCTGTCCTCACATTTTTCTCTGAGAAATTGTTAATGCCACGGGCCCAAAAAAGCCATGTTTTAATTTAACTTCTCTGGAGGCTGTAACGATTTATCGATCGCCCAACTCCCTGAAACCTTTTGGAATTTGGGCTCCTGTGGTTTTTGCATTAGCTGAAAATACAGCCCAAAGCATTTCCCTTGGATTTGATAGATACCCAGTAACTTCAGCATAACATTCAGCAGCATTGGTTTATTGCTGAGGCTTGTTCTTCCCTTCTCTTTGCAAACACTCTCTGGATGGGTTTGCTCTGACCTTTATCCTACCTTGCACAGTTTCCTTGCATCTCCCCCTCCCTGCACGAGTGAGTAGCAGGTTGTGGATCCTCCAGAATTGCCCCCCTGGTTCTGACTGGTGGAGGGTGAGCTCAGCACTGGGAGGTGATGTTTGGACTCTGGAGCAGTGAGCCCTGCCCACCTGCCCAGTCCTGCTCCCTCCGTGTGTGTCGGTGCACACTGGAGTTGTGTGTGGTCCAGGCAGCAGCTCTCAGGCTGGGGAGGTGTTGGAAAGGGATGCTGATGTTAATGAGGTTCTGTTGCTGTGAAATCATCTGTGGTACATGCTGATGCTTAGGCAACACTTGGTGTTTCTCAATGCACCCTTAAAGCATAAAGAAAATGCTGTTTGGTCCTTCAGTAGGTGGAATTTGGAGCCCTTCTCAAGGAAGACATGCTGGTACGTATCTTTTTCTCAATCTTTTCATTTAGCAAGCAAAGCTTTACACTGGCCATAACCTGTGAAATGTCTGCATGAACACGTAACATCTTTCTTTAAAACAGTGTTTGCTTTGTTTGGAGATTGCTGATGTCCTTGTAGCCATGCTAACCTTTTGTGAGGTTTTGGATTATTGTTGTTTTAATAACAAGCTTGGCTGTATTTTTTGACTGGATGTGCAGTAGCTCCTCTGTGCAGCTTTGGGGCTGGGAACTGAGTCACTCCTCAGTGAAGTTAGTGTTGTGGGTATATATAACCTACATAAGCAAATCAGCTGTGGATTCTGTCATGCTGACAAGAACAGCTGGTTTGAGCAAGAGGTTCTGAATATGATATACAATTAACGCATAATTGCAACACATTGCATAATTAGCCCTGTGGCAGGGGGATGGAACTAGAGGAACTTTAAGGTGCCTTCAACCTCAACCCATTCTGTGATGAGTTAGGGAGGTAGGAGAAGCACAAGAGCATGGAAGGAGCTGTGTGTTTTGTTGAACATGGTTTGTGTTTATTTTGCTAATTTACATTTTAAAACGTTTTTATGTTAAAGCTTTTTCAGAAGAGCTCAGAGATCAGACTCCCAGGGGGATGGAACTAGAGGAACTTTAAGGTGCCTTCAACCTCAACCCATTCTGTGATGAGTTAGGGAGGTAGGAGAAGCACAAGAGCATGGAAGGAGCTGTGTGTTTTGTTGAACATGGTTTGTGTTTATTTTGCTAATTTACATTTTAAAACGTTTTTATGTTAAAGCTTTTTCAGAAGAGCTCAGAGATCAGACTCCTGCCCTGCTCCACGTCAGCTTTCCTGCTGTCTGTGGGCAGCACCCTGCAGGCATAGAACCAGTGCCCTGTGCTCAGGGGAAGGGGGAGGAAGGTGAGACCTGAGCTTTGATTTCTTCCATCAGCATTTCACAGCTGTGGGGGTACCTGGGCAGAGTAACAGCAGGGCACAGCAGGTTCTGTGTGTGGTGTGATGGAGGTGGAACCAACCACGGTGGGAAATGAGGGCAGCTCTTTGCAATCAGCTCACTTCACTGTGAATTTTCCACCTGTGATTCCCAGGACCAGCCAAATAGCATGATTAAATACAGCAGAACGTGGTGACAAATTGCTCCTGATTTATCATTTCTTCAAATGCTGTCCCAGGTGATACTGCTGTGTTGGCACTGCATTTTTTTTGTTGTTTGAAACCTGCAGCGAGGGCCTTGCCAGCAGTGAGGGGAAAGGAAGGCTCCCTGCTCCTTTGCAGTGTCCTGTGCTGGTTAATTTGTGGATTCAGAAGGAGCCACTCACTGCTGTGAGCTCTGTTCAGCCATGCAGAGGGCAGGGACTGACACTGACTTGTCCTGTTTTCATCACAGCTCCTCCAGGCTAAATTAAGCTGGTTAGGAGCTCAACAGTATATTTTCATGGGTGTTTCTTTATTGTTGCACTGTTAGTTCTCTTAACTTTTCCCCTGTCAGGTAATCTGCTGGAGTTCACTCTGTTCTTTTGACCTTCAGTTTGGAACATATATTTCAGTTTACTTAAATTTTTCATTTTAAGTTGGTTTCTTTAGAGCCTTTTTCAGTTATTCTCTTAATCTAATTCCCTCTTCCCTCCCATTCCTTTTCATATATTTTAGCTGCTGTGTTGAGGGGGACCATTTTGCCCCTGGAGAATGTTTGCTTTGTGGTCACTTGCCAATCTCTCTGTTACTGATCTCAGTGTCTCTGATTTCCCCTCTAACAGAGTAATATTCTGACATTGCTGCTGTATTTTCTGTCCTGTGGAATCATTTGGCAGCCTGGCTGCAGGTACCACTGTCTCACTAAGCTGCTCCTTTTGCCTCTCTACTTTGTCCACTGAGGCACTTGGCTCTGCCACCAAGGCTGAGGACTCCTGAGGGTGTTCTGCATGGACACACACGCAGGCTCCTCCTGAGGGTGTTCTGCATGGACACACACACACAGGCTCCCCACAGCCTTTTCAAGCACTGTCTTGCCTAAAATTCCTCCTCTGGCTCCACCTGCTCCTCCGGTTCAGTTTGTCCTGGTCCTGTCCTACTGCTCTGGAGTGCACAGTTCATTCCCTGCTCATGCTGAGCTCTCCTGTGCACCAGATGGACATCCTCAGCTGACTGGCACAAACCCCTGTTAGCTCAGTTATGGGGAAATGTTCATCACAGAATCACACAAAGGTTTGGCGTGGAAGGGACATTTAAAGGTCATCCAGTCCAACAGACTCCAGGAATTTTCACAACTCTGGCTTTCATTTCCAGGTAGTCTTCCCAAAGGAGCAGTTAGGACATGTCTGTGCATTCAGGCCTGTCAGGTGCAAACAGTGAGGTGAAGCCTCCAATTTGTAGCAAACTTCCCAAGGAGAGACTGTACAGTAATAGTAGATACAAGAGTTTAGTGACTGGACTCAAAATCCTCATATTGCTGTGTGAATTTAGAGACTTTTAGCATTTGCATCCTGTATGTTGACATAAAATGTGTTTGTAGCTGCGTTCAGCACCGTGATGTGGTACTCACTGATTTGTGCTATTCCTACCTACAGTGCACTCATCCTGCAGCTGTTGGCTGTGAACACCTCTGGGCCACTGGCAGACCATGGGAGCAGCAGCAAAAGGGAGCAAGTGGTGTCAGGAACCATCTCCCCATTCCCTAGAAAATGTGTGGAGGTAAATCCACAGGTGACTGGAAACCATGGGATCCTGTGAGTCCTTTAGGTGCATTTAAGGCAAATTGTTCTGCAGCATGGAATAGCTTTAGTTGTGGCTCAGAAAGGCTGTGAATAAAGCCATTTGGTAATAGCCCCATGACTTTGCTCTCATTCCCCTCCAAAACATTGGCTTTTCACAGAACAGCTGTTCTAACAGGGACACAACTTCCCAGTGGGACATCAGTGCTATTGCCCTTGTTCCTGCAGCACCTGGGAACACCAGTCAGGGAAAGCTGAGCAGCCTGCACAGGGGAGAATGCTGGAGCTGATGAGCAGAGGGAGCAGTCTGGGTGATACAGCAGATTTCTGAGTTTGTGCTCAGAGGGAGGAGTGTCTGATTTCACTGGAGCCTGATGGTTCAAGCAGGAAGCCCAAACCTGACAGTGACAGTAGCTGAAATATTCCTCTGTGAAGAGTTCTACAACTCTCAAGCTTGTCCTCCAATGAAACACAGCAGATAAAAATGGAAAACCATTGCTAGAGACTATCAACTTAGAAAACTGAGTACTCTTTTATCTATTTCAGCTACATTCCCAATTAAGCCAGGTGACAAAGGGATTACCTGACTGTAATGCTTCGTCGAGGCCTAAGCAAACACGTAACTAGGTCAGTGTTAACACCACAAGAGCATCCACACCAGGTGCTACTGCAGCCTGCAGGACCAGCTTACAGACTGGAACTGCTGCTCTTCAAGGCAGAGAGGGGGAAAAAACTTCCACTCACAACTTCCCCTGGTGAGTATCATCCCAGTTTTAGCCCCAGTGCAGCAGCAGACACCATGGACCCCACACAAGCTCTGTGGTACAAATTTATTGTGAAGCCTGCACCCCGGGTGCTCAGTTCTCCTTCTCCTGCACCGTCTTTGTCCCGCGCAGCCTGCCCGTGCGCCGCGCGGCGATCAGCCCGACCTTGCGCCCGGCCGGAGCGTCTCTCCTGATGGTCGAGGGCTTCCCGATGTGCTGGTGGTTTCCACCTCCGAAGGGATGTTCTACAGGCTGTGGAGGAGCAAAGCAAGTCAGGGATTTAACCACAGGAACGAGGAATGGTGTTTAACAGCACTTAAACTGATTGAAGGGAACAACAAATTTAACTGCTTTACTTTTCACGTAGAGTGGAGTATCTATCAAGTGCTGCCAACTCCACTAACCTACCCTGTAACTCCACGTTTATCTGGGAAGCTTTGTCCCCAGGCTCCTGCCCACATCACCCAAATCCTTCCTCAACTGCAAGGATGACTGTGACAGCAAAGAGACTCACGTTCATGGCCACACCACGGACTCTTGGCCAGCAGTTCCTCTTCGCCTTGTACTTGTGGTAGGCACGTCCTGCCTTGAGGATGGGCTTGTCAATACGACCCCCACCAGCAACGATTCCTGGGGGAACAGCAGCAATGGTAACACCAAATGGAACACAGACCAATTCCCAACAACAGTCAAGCTCCAAGACTGGTCTCTAGAAGCTTAATCTCAAGCAGTCCCAGCTGTGTTTGAACCAACGCTACCAGTGAGATCAGACCTGAGCTATCACCCACAGCCACCCCAAGGGCTCTGCAAGGGGACACACTTTAATTGCTGCTTTTCAATCCATACACACAGGATTGAGTTGATCACTTTCTAAAGCACTGACAGTTATACTGCTTAGAATTGCCTGTGCAACATTAAGAGTTTCTGAACTTAAACATGAACTGAACAGCTCAGGAGACTATCAAGAACTTTGCGGCTTAATACCCACTTCCTTCATGACTTATTGAGTCAATTTTACCAGAGTAACACAGCAAATTTGGGGCCTTCTCTGCAGAGGCAGGCAGGCATCACCAGCTGTCAGGTGTACAACAAACCTGAAAAAGCCTCTGCTTCTTGGCAGTGATACTGTCATTCCTTGTCAGACCTTCCAGAACACTCCACCCACCCAACACCACCTCCAGCACTACCCTGCAGGCTCACTCAGTGTGCCAAAAGCAGGAAATCAAAAGCCATTCTTCCCCGAGGACTAAGACTTCACAGGCTGAGCAATTCCACTATAGCCTGAGAACAATGAGCATCAACTTTTCTGTCCTCTCACTAGGTCAAACCACCTCCAAATTTAGGTTACCCACAAGTAAATCAGGCATAACATACACGGTCAGGCACCTGAGCACAGGCTGTCCCAGTGTGTATTCCTGGGTCCAGCCTGCAAATGCCACTTTCCAGGGTGGTTTTTAGGAACTGGGGCCCTGTCTGAAAGCTTCCTTAGCACTGATGAGTTCACAGCTGTCACTCCTTACCAACAACAGCTCTGTTTGCAGAGGAGATCACTTTCTTGGAGCCAGAAGGAAGCTTCACTCTGGTTTTCTTTGTCTCAGGGTTGTGAGAGATGACTGTGGCATAGTTCCCAGAGGCACGGGCCAGCTTCCCACGGTCACCAGGTTTCTCCTCCAGGCAGCACACAATGGTCCCTTCTGGCATGGTACCCACAGGCAGGACATTCCCAATGTTCAGCTGAGCTGTAAGGAGCAATCAGAGCAGCCACAGCTTCATTCAGGCTCCTGGACTGGAGTTACAGTTCCATTTAACAGAGACTTCTGTGCACAGCAGGGCACAGACCCTCTGGCAGCAGCAGCTAGGGACATTTTAGGGTCTGACCTGGAATACCAGTTCCACATTCAGTGTGAAGAAAGGCAGAATGGGAACCCAAACTGACCAACCCAAATGCCTGACAAAACCTGTGGTTAAGCTTGTTATCCAAACATACTGTGAATTCCCAGGAAGAGATCTGGGATTGCTTAGAGTGGGTGACACACCTATAGGCTGCTCCTGTGAAACCCCACCTGAAGCACTGCACACAGTTCTGATGTCCCCAACATCAGGACATGGAACTGTTGGAGCAAGTCCAGAGAAGGCCATGAAGCTGATAAGAAGACTGGAGCACCCTCCCTACAAAGACAGGCTGAGGGAGTTGGGGCTGTTCAGCCTGGAGAAAAGAAGGTTGTGTGGGGACCTTATAGTAACCTTCCAGTATCTGAAGGGGCTTCAGAGAAGCTGGAGAGGGACTCTGTGTTAGGAGCTGCAGTAACAGGACAAGGGGCAATTGGGAAAAATTGAAAGAGAGGAAATTTAGGTTAGATATTATGGATAAATTTTTTAATGTGAGGGTGCTGAAACACTGGCACAGGTTGCCCAGGGAGGCTGTGGCTGCCCCAACCCTGGCAGTGTTCACAGCCAGGTTGGATAAACCTTGAGCAACCTGCTCTGGTGGGAGGTGTCCCTGCCCAGGGCAGGGGCTGGAACTAGATGATCTGTAAGGTCCATTCTAGCCCCTTAACATTCTATGGTGGAGGCCACTGCGCTGTGACAGCTCCTGCACTCAGCATCACACCCCCAGTGCTGGGAGAGCATTATCAGCACTCCCACGGGACTCACCCTTCTTGCCACAGTACACGAACTGCCCCGTGTGGATGCCCTCGGCAGCAATGAACAGCTCTGTCCTCTTCTTGAACCTGTAGGGGTCGCGGAAGGCGATCTTGGCCAGGGGAGCGCCGCGGCCGGGGTCGTGGATGATGTCCTGTGGGAATGCACAGGGGCTTTAGGGCACAGCACAGCACTTGCCACAGGTTCTGCAGAAATCAGCTAGGAAAACTGGGGGTGATTACTCTGAGAGAATTCTCACTAGCAGCTCCTCCCCCTTCTCAAGGGAATTTTGATTTTTCCTGATGTGAGTGACTTAAGATTCACATTTGTAGGAATACAACCTCCAGTATCTGCACCACATCAGCATGGAAGAAATGCTTTCCTGTGAGGGTGGTGAGGCACTGGAGCAATTTGAAGTTGTGGATGCCTCATCCCTGGGAGTGTTCCAAGCCAGGCTGGATGGAGCTCTGAGCAACTGGTCTAGTGGAAGGGGTTCCTGCCCATGGGAGACGGATTGGGACC